ACTGTCTGTGATGTCATAGAAGTGTCTGTATGACACCTCAGGTCAGAGACATTTTTAATTTCAATATTGATTTAAAACAACTTAAACCTAAAAACTCCGTGGTGAATGGGTGATGGGGGAGGAGCCGAAGGCACATAGTAGATGCCTTGCTTCTGCCAGTGTGCCCCAGGGCAGCTGTGGCTATATTTAGCTCATCACCATGTGTGTAGTTAAGCGTCTTTGAGTGCGTCTATCTCATGTCCCTCAGTTAAAAGCGTTTATCTCATGTCCCTCAGTTAAAAGCGTTTATCTCAAGTTCCTCAGTCAAAAGCGTTTATCTCAAGTTCCTCAGTTAAAAGCGTTTATCTCATGTTCCTCAGTTAAAAGCATTTATCTCATGTTCCTCAGTTAAAAGCATTTATCTCATGTTCCTCAGTTAAAAGCGTTTATCTTAAGTTCCTCAGTTAAAAGCGTTTATCTCAAGTTCCTCAGTTAAAAGCGTTTATCTCAAGTTCCTCAGTTAAAAGCGTTCATCTCAAGTTCCTCAGTTAAAAGCGTTTCTCAAGTTCCTCAGTTAAAAACGTTTATCTCAAGTTCCTCAGTTAAAAGCTTTTATCTCATGTTCCTCAGTCAAAAGCGTTTATCTCATGTTCCTCAGTCAAAAGCGTTTATCTCATGTTCCTCAGTTAAAACAGTTTATCTCAAGTTCCTCAGTTAAAAGCGTTTATCTCAAGTTCCTCAGTTAAAAGCGTTTATCTCAAGTTCCTCAGTTAAAAGCGTTTATCTCAAGTTCCTCAATTAAAAGCGTTTATCTTATGTTCCTCAGTTAAAAGCGTTTATCTCAAGTTCCTCAGTTAAAAGCGTTTATCTCAAGTTCCTCAGTTAAGAGCGTTTATCTCATGTTCCCCAGTTAAAAGCGCTTATCTCATGTTCCTCAGTTAAAAGCGTCTATCTCAAGTTCCTCAGTTAAAAGCGTTTATCTCATGTTCCTCAGTTAAAAGCGTTTATCTCAAGTTCCTCAGTTAAAAGCGTTTATCTCAAGTTCCTCAGTTAAAAGCGTTTATCTCATGTTCCTCAGTTAAAAGCGTTTATCTCATGTTCCTCAGTTAAAAACGTTTATCTCATGTTCCTCAGTTAACAGCGTTTATCTCATGTTCCTCAGTTAAAAGCGTTTATCTCATGTTCCTCAGTTAAAAACGTTTATCTCATGTTCCTCAGTTAACAGCGTTTATCTCATGTTCCTCAGTTAAAAACGTTTATCTCATGTCCTTCAGATGTGGATGTGCCTCATCCTGATGAGAAGTCCATTATCACGTATGTGTCGTCTCTGTACGACGCCGTTCCCAGAGTCCCCGGCGCCGAGGACGGCGTGCGAGCTAACGTGAGCAGTTACTCTGTAAAGTCCACATGATCCTCACATGGTCCTATCTCTGCATGGTCCTCACATGGTCCAGTCTCTGCATGGTCCTCACATGGTCCTGCCTCTTCATGGTCCTCACATGGTCTTGTCTCTGCATGGTCCTCACATGGTCCTGCCTCATCATTGTCCTCACATGGTCCTGTCTCTGCATGGTCCTCACATGGTCCTGTCTCTCAGGAGTTGGAGTTGCGCTGGCAGCAGTATTGCGAGCTGCTGACCACACTGCAGCAGTGGATGCGACATCACATCCTGGTGTTTGAGGAGAAGAAGTTTCCCTCCAGCTACGAGGAGATCGAGGTGACAGCTGTCAATCACAAATATATATATATATACTGTATATAAATATAGTAAGTAAGTAAGTAATGTTTATTTATATACCGCTACGAGGAGATCAAGGTCATAGCTGTCAATCTATGGTTCTATGGTAATGTGGTAATTTATGGTAATATGGTAATCTATGGTAATATGGTAATCTATGGTAATATGGTAATCTATGGTAATATGGTAATCTATGGTAATATGGTAATCTATGGAAATATGGTAATATATGGTAATGTGTGGTAATCTGTGGTAATTTGTGGTAATTTATGGTAATCTGTGGTAATCTATATCAGGGGTTCCCAAAGTTTTTAGCCCGCGACCCCCATCATAAATGCCCTGCTAACCCGCGACCCCCCCCAACAGCCCTTTCGTCACATGAAATGAGCATGTATTTCCTTGATACGGAGTAACGCTTTCTAGAGACTCACGCCACTACCGAGCTGCACTGTCCAGCCCAAAAAAGGAGGCTTGCATATTTTTACTCATGTAGTGACACAGTGATGGGCTTGGTGGGCTCCCTCCTCAGCAGAAGTGGAGCGCATTTCTTGCGGCTCGCCCTCACTGTTCTCCTACCGCGGTAAAGTGGGCCGGCTTTCCGGAGTCAGTAACGCTTTCTGCTGTTACTTTATGCGGTTCATCCCCGCGGCTTCTCTTTCCAAAGTTACTGTCAGTAAAGGCATAAACCGGCCACCCGCTTTTAATGTGCGGACCTCTTTACCTTTGACTCCGAAAAGCCGGGCCTCTTTAACGCGCTGTTCTACCGCTGTCCTCCCTCCCTCCGCTGCCCTCTCTCCCTCCTCTGCCCTCTCTCCCTCCTCTGCCCTCTCTCCCTCCTCTGCCCTCTCTCCCTCCTCTGCCCTCTCTCCCTCCTCTGCCCTCTCTCCCTCCTCTGCCCTCTCTCCCTCTCTTCGCACCATCAGCCTGACCCCTGATACAAGTGACTTAGTATTATTTATTTGTAGCCTCCAAACACCTTTAGTTTTTGCAAACAACAGCAGGACACGCTTTGTCGCTGCGCATGATGTGAGCTGTGTTACGTGATGATTTTGATTGACGCTGCAATGACTGGGACAAAATTACTAACGTTATTAAAATATATTATAGTCTCCAAACACAATTTAACAAGTAGTCCTTTTGAATCAAATCAAATGCTAAATAAATATTTAAGGGCTTTATATTTGCTCAAAAAAAAAATAATCTTTTTTTTTTGTTTGTGTGGAAATCATCTTGCAACCCCCCCAGGGGTTCCCGCGACCCCCCGGGGGGTCGGGACCCCCACTTTGGGAACCACTGATCTATATGACAAAACAAAGTATATTTTGAAGGTCTGATCTTACTGTTTGTACTTTTAAACTTTACAAAGTCATCATGAGTCAGAAACAGTTCATTATTAACAATTTTCATAACAATATAAATAAATAACATCAAAATAATGTTTTAATCTCATCTTTCTGTGACTGTTGCAGGTTTTGTGGCGACAGTTTTTAAAGTTCAAAGAAACCGAGCTCCCGGCGAAAGAGTCCGACAAGAACAGGTCAAAGGTCATCTTCAAGTCCTTTGAAGTGAGTTTTATCAGAGACACACACACATACACACACACACACAGAGACACACACAGACACACACGGAGACACACATACACACACCACCCACATACACACACACACATAGACACAGATATACACAGACGCACACACACAGACAGACAGACTTATTCATGTTTTACCATTTGCAGTAAAACCACATTGGAATAATTGTGCAAACGTTTGCACCAGAGAACAACCAAACAAACAAAAACAGTTTTAATGATGTTTTGTGAAGAAACAAAACCAGAGAGTACAGAGAAACATTATGTGACAGTAAATAACTCTGTCGCTGTGAGAATGGAGATCTCAAAGTGACAGAAAGTTGGTATTTCCTACATGTGTTTGTACTTTTCACAGTTTGTAAATGGACCAATCATGTCGAGTGTTAGGGTTAGAGATTTTTCTGAAATTGCTGTGTTGTGCCTGTAGGAGGCAGTGCAGGCAGGACAGCTGAAGGTACCGCCCAGTTTCCACCCGTTTGACGTAGAGAAGGAGTGGGGGCGCCTCCATGTGGCCATCCTGGAGAGAGAACGCCTCCTGAGGATCGAGTTTGAGCGGTAAATACGACACACACTTCTGTGAGCAGCGTTTAGTGTCAAAGGTTTTAACGACACAATAAGAAAATAATGAACTTTTAGTTTGAGCTTGTGGTACTCGGGGAGAATAAGAGCAGAGTTAGTCATCCCACGTCCCTGAGCTTTAACCTCACTCTCTTCACTCACGCTTCTCAGAAGATAATACAAACTCCTTTATCATGACCTTTTACAATCTCAGAATCAGAATCAGAATCATTTTTATTGCCACGTAAGTAACAGGAGGTCACAGACTTGGACATTGCTTTGGCTCAGTGCAACAGTCAGAAAGAGATAATAAAAATAAGAATCAAAAACACTTCTAAAGAATAAATTTAAATTTAAAATAGAGTTACAGTTACTATTTACAATATCCAAGTGCACGTGGTGCACACAATGTAAGGTGACAGCAGTACAGTGAAGTAAAGTGACGTATGATGGGCAGTAAAGTGACTTTATAAAGGGCGGGGGGACAGGTTAAGAAGTGTTCAAGAGTCCAACAGCAGAGGGGAAGAAACTGTTCTTGTGGCGGGAGGTTCTAGTCCTGATGGACCGCAGCCTCCTGCCTGAGGGGAGTGGTTGGAATAGTCCATGTGCAGGTGAGAGGGGAGTGGTTGGAATAGTCCATGTGCAGGTGAGAGGGGAGTGGTTGGAATAGTCCATGTGCAGGTGAGAGGGGAGTGGTTGGAATAGTCCATGTGCAGGTGAGAGGGGAGTGGTTGGAATAGTCCATGTGCAGGTGAGAGGGGAGTGGTTGGAATAGTCCATGTGCAGGTGAGAGGGGAGTGGTTGGAATAGTCCATGTGCAGGTGAGAGGGGAGTGGTTGGAATAGTCCATGTGCAGGTGAGAGGGGAGTGGTTGGAATAGTCCATGTGCAGGTGAGAGGGGTCGGCTGTGATACGACCAGCCCGGCCTCGAGCTCGGGCGACGTACAGGTCCTGCAGCGATGGAAGGCTGCGGCCGATCACTTCCTCTGCAGAGCGCACAATGCACTGTAGTCTCTGTTTGTCCCTGACTGTGGCTCCAGCGAACCACACGGTGATGGAGGAGGTGATGGAGGAGGTGATGGAGGAGGTGATGGAGGAGGTGGAGGAGGTGATGGAGGAGGTGAGGATGGACTCGATGATGGCCGTGTAGAACTGCACCAACATCTGTGCAGGCAGCTTGGCTTTCCTGAGCTGCCGCAGGAAGTACATCCTCTGCTGGGCCTTCTTGATGAGGAGGTGATGGTCGGCTCCCACTTGAGGTCCTGGGTGATGGTGGTGCCCAGGAAACGGAAGGACTCCACAGAGGTGATGGGGGAGTCCATCACGGAGGGTGGGGGCGGGGGGACAGTGCTCTTCCTCAAGTCCACAATCATCTCCACTGTCTTCTGGGCGTTCAGCTCCAGGTTGTTACCACTGCACCAGGACACCAGCCGGTCCACCTCCCTCCTGTAGGAGACACCAGGACACCAGCCGGTCCACCTCCCTCCTGTAGGAGACACCAGGACACCAGCCGGTCCACCTCCCTCCTGTAGGAGACACCAGGACACCAGCCGGTCCACCTCCCTCCTGTAGGAGACACCAGGACACCAGCCGGTCCACCTCCCTCCTGTAGGAGACACCAGGACACCAGCCGGTCCACCTCCCTCCTGTAGGAGACACCAGGACACCAGCCGGTCCACCTCCCTCCTGTAGGAGACACCAGGACACCAGCCGGTCCACCTCCTCCTGTAGGAGACACCAGGACACCAGCCGGTCCACCTCCCTCCTGTAGGAGACACCAGGACACCAGCCGGTCCACCTCCCTCCTGTAGGAGACACCAGGACACCAGCCGGTCCACCTCCCTCCTGTAGGAGACACCAGGACACCAGCCGGTCCACCTCCCTCCTGTAGGAGACACCAGGACACCAGCCGGTCCACCTCCCTCCTGTAGGCGGACTCATCGTTGTTGGAGATGAGTCCAATGAGGGTGGTGTCGTCCGCGAACTTGATCAGCTTCACGGAGTCGTGGCTGGAGGTGCAGTGGTTGGTGTACAGGGAGAAGAGCAGGGGAGAAAGAACACAGCCCTGTGGGGCTCCTGTATTTATAATCCGTGAGTCCGAGACATTCTTCCCCAGACGCACTCGCTGCTTCCTGTCCGTCAGGAAGTCAGTGATCCACCTGCAGGTGGAATCGGGCACGTTGAGCTGGGAGAGCTTGTCCTGGAGCAGGGATGGCAGGATTGTGTTGAAGGCAGAGCTGAAGTCCACGAACAGGACCCTGGCGTAGGTCCCCGGGGAGTCCAGGTGCTGTAGGATGTGGTGGAGGGCAGAGGTGTGGACTCGAGTCATGTGACTTGGACTCGAGTCAGACTCGAGTCATGATTTTGATGACTTTAGACTCGACTTGACCAAATATAAAAAGACTTGCAACTCGACTTGGACTTTAACATCAATGACTCTGACTTTCACTTGGACTTGCGCCAATTGACTTGCAAAGACTTGCGTAACCCGGGCCATTTTTACCTTTCTCCGCATCTCTCTTTCTATCTATGCCGTCTCTGAAGAAACAAAGCCTCGCGGTAGTTGTAGCGCTCGCGCGAGAGTTCGAACGTGAGTTCCCCGCAGTTCGCGCAGCAACACTTCCCTAAACAAGCGGACTGCATTCACCGGTGGGTGTGTTGTCTAGGGGAGCTGGAAATGAGCGAGCTGCAGGTATTTATCGCGACCTAACGTCATATTTTGTTCTACAAACCGTAATTGATATGCTTTCACTACAGGCGCCTCATACAATTGAATCGACGCAGTTGTCACACTCTGTGCCGTGTTTTAAAGAGGAACTGGTGAGTCAAACTAGCGCTAGCCTGCGCTGCTCTGTTAGCTATTTCTTATATTTTTCTGTGTGCGCACCGAGGCCTATTATTATGAGTATGTTTTTGCTGTGCTCCTCCTGCTAAAGTTTGCATACATTAGATAGTTGTTTTGATTATGTGCACTAAGCTAGATTAATATTTGCACTATTGTTTATGGTGCATTGATATGAGAATCAGTGCTTTGACTGATTGAATTAATTTATATGAGACATTTTATTATGTAATGATATATTGGTAATTATGAGATATTACTAATGCTGGTCCAGTTCATACAGGCCAGGTTCCTTCCCCTCCATTGGTCCCTTCAGTCCTTTGGAACAATAACCACTACGGACATTAAACTGATTATATAGATACAGGTCCTAGCCCAATACTCATATTCATATATGCTGCACTTGCTACTTCCCATTAAAAACCCCAAAGATAAAAAGTATGTTGACATGGACTGCTCTGATTTTATGTGTGGTCTGTGCATGTGTAACTGAGCCTGCATCTGGCACAACATCCAATTAGATCACGTAGATAGTTTTGATTTACCAGCAGCCAACGACATGGAACAAACTGTTAGTCCATGGGTCAGAGACCAACGAGAATGCACCAGCAAAATGATTCCTAACATTATTTTGTTTGCCTACAAAAGTAGGTGGAGACCAACAAGAAACAAATCGCGGTCAAAAAGACTCGAGAGGACTCGAAAGTCAAACCGTAGGACTTGGGACTGACTTGAGATTTGTTGGCCTTTGACTTGGACTCGACTCGGGACTTGCCTGTCTTGACTCGTGACTTGACTCGGGACTTGAGGGCAATGAATTGAGACTGACTTGTGACTTGCTAAACAATGACTTTGTCCCACCTCTGGTGGAGGGCCAGGTTAATGGCGTCGTCTACAGATCTGTTGGCTCTGTAGGCGAACTGCAGGGGGTCCAGGAGGGGGGAGGTGAGGGACTTGAGATGGGAGAGAACCAGGCGTTCAAATGACTTCATGACGACAGACGTAAGTGCTACAGGTCTGTAGTCATTGAGTCCTGTGATCCTGGGCTTCTTCGGGACGGGGACGATGATGGAGGATTTGAAGCAGGCCGGGACATGGCAGGACTGCAGAGAGGTGTTGAAAATGTCCGTGAACACAGGAGTAAGCTCACTGGCGCAGTGTCTCAGAGTGGCCGGAGACACGTGGTCCGGGCCAGGAGCTTTGCGGGGGTGCAGCCTCAGGAAGAGTTGTTTAATCTCTTTAGAGGCTATTGTTAGGCTGGGGGCAGGGCTGATGGGTGGGTCGTTAGAGTAGTGGGGGGTGGGGGAGGGAGAGGTGTCAGGGGCAGCATCAAAGCGACTGAAAAATAAGTTCAGATCGTCAGCTAGCTTGTGGTCGTCAGCACAGGGGGGGGCTTTGGGTTTGTAGTTGGTGATCTCCCGTAGGCCCCTCCAGACAGAAGCAGTATCGTTGTTACCAAACTGCTCCTGTAGTCGTTCTCTGTGCCGGGACTTGGCTGCTTTCAGTTCTTTCCTGAACTGATATTTAGCTGCTTTGTAGCCGCTGCGGTCCCCCTCCCTGAAAGCAGACTCCTTTGCTTTCCTGAGCTGCCGGAGTTTAGCAGTGAACCAGGGTTTGTCGTTGTTTATAGATGACCCTGGTCCTTGTTGGAATGATGCTATCCTCACAGAAGTGAATGTATGACGTCACAGTGTCCGTGTATTCATCCAAACTATCTGTGGCAGCTCTGAAAAGGTCCCAGTCTGTAGATTCCATGCATGCAGCTCTTCCACAGCTTCATCAGACCACACTTTGGAGCTCCTCATTGCAGGTTTCGAGAGCTTTAGTCTCTGTCTGTAAGCAGGAACCAGATGTATCATGGAGTGATCTGAGAAGCCGAGGGCTGCCTTGGGAACAGCGCGAAAAGCTCCGCGCACGGTGGTGTAGCAGTGATCCAGAGTGTTCTCCTCTCTGGTCGGGCATTTGATAAACTGTCTGTATTTGGGTAATTCCTGGCTCAAGTTTCCCTTATTAAAATCCCCCAGGATAATAATCAGAGAGTCCGGGTATAAACGTTCCATACACAGTACTTGCTCTGCGTCCGCGCATGGCGGTATGTAAACAGAGGCAAGAATGAATGAAACAATTTCACGAGGGGAGTAAAATGGTTTACAATGGATGAAAAGATATTCCAGAGCAGGTTAAAGCAGTTAAAGTGGGCCAGAGCCCACTTCACGATTTGGGTTAGTGTTAGGGTTTGGGCTTGGGCACGGTTGGAGTTTTGGGCCAAGGCCCGCTGTAAAGCCCAGATCAGGGGGGTCAGTGTGAGGGGCTCCATCACCTCCTCCATCACCTCCACCATCACCTCCTCCATCACCTCCTCCATCACCTCCTCCATCACCTCCTCCATCACCTCCTCCATCACCTCCTCCATCACCGTGTGGTTCGCTGGAGCCACAGTCAGGGACAAACAGAGACTACAGTGCATTGTGCGCTCTGCAGAGGAAGTGATCGGCCGCAGCCTTCCATCGCTGCAGGACCTGTACGTCGCCCGAGCTCGAGGCCGGGCTGGTCGTATCACAGCCGACCCCTCTCACCTGCACATGGACTATTCCAACCACTCCCCTCTCACCTGCACATGGACTATTCCAACCACTCCCCTCTCACCCTGCACATGGACTATTCCAACCACTCCCCTCAGGCAGGAGACTGCGGTCCATCAGGACTAGAACCTCCCGCCACAAGAACAGTTTCTTCCCCTCTGCTGTTGGACTCTTGAACACTTCTTAACCTGTCCTCCCGCCCTTTATAAAGTCACTTTACTGCCCATCATACGTCACTTTACTTCACTGTACTGCTGTCACCTTACATTGTGTGCACCATGTGCACTTGGATATTGTAAATAGCAACTGTAATCGTAATAATTCTATTTTAAATAATTCTATTTTAAATGTATTCTTTAGAAGTGTTTTTTATTCTTTATTTTTATTATCTCTTTCTGACTGTTGCACTGAGCCAAAGCAATTTCCAAGTCTGTGACTTCCTGTTACTTACAGTACATGGCAATAAAAATTATTCTGATTCTGATTCTGGGTTAGCTACAGCAGCTGTTACAGGGAATTTCCACAGTAGGCGTTAACAGCGCGCATGTGTTACTCGGCTGTATCTACACAGGCCGTGCGCAGGTTCGCGGCCTCTGATGCTGTCCCTGTGTAGTCTATGGAGCAGTGTAGAGGACAGTACGGGCCAGAGACTGATGTAGAGCAACACAAATCACATGCATGTGTTTGTGCGCTGGTTTGGCCAGACGCCAGACTTTATGAAAGAAAAAAAAACGATGTCCAGAATCACTGTAAAACCTGCCAGTCCTGCTAATGTTTAGATACATGTGTGTGTGTGTGTGTGTGTGTGCGTGCGTGCGTGCGCGTGTAAATGCAATCTAAAGCAAGGACCGCTAGAAAAAACATGTTTCAGATGTGTTTTCAATGGGAGACGCGTTGCTGCGCGCACAAAATTAGAAATCCATCCTAAATTAGGCGCAGCCTCGTGTCAATACGTATGTCACACGTCCGTCATATGTGCGTCATGCGTCCGTTATACGTCCGTCATATGTGCGTCATGCCTCCGTCATACGTCCGTCATATGTGCGTCATGCGTCCGTCATATGTATGTCATGCGTCCGTCATATGTGCGTCATGCGTCCGTCATATGTCCGTCATATGTATGTCATGCGTCCGTCATATGTGCGTCATATGTCCGTCATATGTGCATCATGCGTCCGTCATACGTCCGTCATATGTGCATCATGCGTCCGTCATACGTCCGTCATATGTGCGTCATGCGTCCGTCATACGTCCGTCATACGTCCGTCATGCGTCCGTCATACGTCCGTCATATGTGCGTCATGCGTCCGTCATACGTCCGTCATATGTGCGTCATGCGTCCGTCATACGTCCGTCATATGTGCGTCATGCGTCCGTCATATGTATGTCATGCGTCCGTCATATGTGCGTCATGCGTCCGTCATATGTATGTCATGCGTCCGTCATATGTGCGTCATGCGTCCATCATATGTATGTCATGCGTCCGTCATATGTGCGTCATGCGTCCGTCATATGTATGTCATGCGTCCATCATATGTATGTCATGCGTCCGTCATATGTGCGTCATGCGTCCATCATATGTATGTCATGCGTCCGTCATATGTGCGTCATGCGTCCGTCATATGTGCGTCATGCGTCCATCATATGTATGTCATGCGTCCGTCATATGTATGTCATGCATGCGTCCGTCATACGTGCGTCATATGTGCGTCATGCGTCCGTCACACGTCCGTTATACGCGCGTATGACACTAGTAGTGTAAATATCACCATTGGTTTACATGGAAAAATGTTACGCGTGTCTGCTGCGTGTCTGCTGCGTGTCTGCTGCGTGTCTGCTGCGCGTATGACGCGTACGTGCTGTAACGCCTCCTGTGGACATTAGCAGTTAGCTACAGTAGCAAAATGTAAACAGGAAGAGAAATGGAAACTTAACTCGGACAACGAGGTTGTCGCTAAAGTTAGTATTAGCGCCACCAGCTGGACCGAGCGTGGTACTACAGCACAGTAGCTCGCTTGCAAAAACACGTGTGACCGCGGGCCGTTTTCACTGTGGCGACGATCCGGGCCACTTGGCCCAGTTGGTTTGTAAAAAACTATGTGACCATGCCCTAACGGTTCATGGTCGTGTTTAGTTTATAAAACATTGCATGAATCTCTCCTTGGTCTGGCCGTAGGTCCTGAAGAGAACAAACTGAAATTTTTATTTATAAAGTGACATTTCTGTTTCTGTAACATGTTTTCACTGTTGCTCAAACTAAGTATTCTCCAAATGAAAGGAAAGTGACTCATTCCCAAACCATGAAGCGGTTACAAAATACAGCTTTGTCGAACGGAAAGTAGAACGAATCCAACGGAGCCACATGACCGTCTCCATAGCAACAGCCAACTGCCCAACATAGAAACATCCTCATGAAATAATCAGAAGGACTTCTGGGCGTCTCCCTCTGCCTTTTCCATGGTTCTCCCCATGGTCCAGAGCAGAGTTAGTCTGTGATCAAAGTCTGTGATCAGAGTCTGTGATCAGAGTCTGTGATCAGAGTCTGTGATCAGAGTCTGTGATCAGAGTCTGTGATCAGAGTCTGTGATCAGAGTCTGTGATCAGAGTCTGTGATCAGAGTCTGTGATCAGAGTCTGTGATCAGAGTCTGTGATCAGAGTCTGTGATCAGAGTCTGTGATCAGAGTCTGTGATCAGAGTCTGTGATCAGAGTCTGTGATCAGAGTCTGTGATCAGAGTCTGTGATCAAAGTCTGTGATCAGAGTCTGTGATCAGAGTCTGTGATCAGAGTCTGTGATCAGAGTCTGTGATCAGAGTCTGTGATCAGAGTCTGTGATCAGAGTCTGTGATCAGAGTCTGTGATCAGAGTCTGTGATCAGAGTCTGTGATCAGAGTCTGTGATCAGAGTCTGTGATCAGAGTCTGTGATCAAAGTCTGTGATCAGAGTCTGTGATCAGAGTCTGTGATCAGAGTCTGTGATCAGAGTCTGTGATCAGAGTCTGTGATCAGAGTCTGTGATCAGAGTCTGTGATCAGAGTCTGTGATCAAAGTCTGTGATCAGAGTCTGTGATCAGAGTCTGTGATCAGAGTCTGTGATCAGAGTCTGTGATCAGAGTCTGTGGCGATGGCGTTCCTGCAGCAGGGGTATGTGCTCAAACGTCTGTTTCGGACCAAACAGGAGTAAGTTTCTGAGTTGCTTTGAGTTAAAAATGTACTAAATAGAAAAGATGTTTGAGTTTGCTGGTGTTTGAGTTTGCTGGTGTTTGAGTTTGCTGGTGTTTCAGGCTGGAGAGACTTCAGAGAATCGTGGGTAAAGTCCAGATGGAGTCGGGCGTGTGTGAGGAGCAGCTGCAGCAGGTGGAGGCGCTGTTGCAGCAGGTGAAGAAGACAAACATTCATGTTTTTGTTGTTTTTGTTGTTTGTTGAATGTAACGTCTTCTTCCTCTCGGGGGTTCAGGATGTGAGGTCGATGAGCGCTGGGAGACCGCCTCAGCATTCTGCGGAGGTGGAGGCCGACCTGGAGAAGGCCGAAGGAATGATCCGACTGCTCTTCAATGATGTGCAGCTGCTGAAAGACGGGCGCCACCTACAGGCCGAACAGATGTACCGCAGGTAACTCTGAGCTGCTGATTCTGTTTGAGGCAAATGAGACGCTTCCCACAGAAGCAACTTCTCACATCTGCATTAGGAATATCAGGAATGATTATCTACAGATTGTTTTTACATGTTCTGTTCGTCACTACACACTTCCCCTGTGAGGAAGTCCTTTTATTCTACATCATTCAGATCAATCTACTGATGGTGCTCAGGCCTCACTGCAGGAAGGGTTTGATCCCGGGCTCTCTATGGGTCTCTGTGGTCTCTGTGGGTCTCTGTGGGTCTCTGTGGTCTCTGTGGTTTCTGTGGTCTCTGTGGTCTCTGTGGTCTCTGTGGGTCTCTGTGGGTCTCTGTGGGTCTCTGTGGTCTCTGTGGGTCTCTGTGGTCTCTGTGGTCTCTGTGGGTCTCTGTGGGTCTCTGTGGGTCTCTGTGGTCTCTGTGGGTCTCTGTGGTCTCTGTGGTCTCTGTGGGTCTCTGTGGGTCTCTGTGGTCTCTGTGGTCTCTGATATCTACACGAAGATGCTTCGTGTAGATATCAGTGTATTATATCCATGTGATGATATACAGTAAACTACTGTGCACGTGGAGCACATACACTACTCTGATAAATGCACACGTGCACTGTACAAACACCTCCATATTGACTTTCACATAAGGCAAGTTTATTTGTATAGCACAGTTCATGCACAAGTAAACTGCTAAAGGAAGAGCGGGTTCTGGGTTTTAGCGAGATACAGTTTAACACGTGTTTATCTTCAGGGTCTATCGTCTCCACGAGCGCCTCGTCAACCTCCGCAGCGAACACAACCTGCGCCTCAAGTCCGGGGTCACCCTCACCCAGATCCCCATGACCCAGATCCACATGGGACAGGCCCAGATGACCCAGGCCCAGATGGCCCAGGCCCAGATGGCCCAGGCCCAGATGGCCCAGGCCCAGATGACCCAGGCCCAGATGGCCCAGGCCCAGATGACCCAGGCCCAGATGACCCAGGCCCAGATGACCCAGGCCCAGATGACCCAGGCCCAGATGCAGCAGGCCTCCGGGACCAGGGTGCGTCCCGAGCTGGATGAGGTCACCCTGCGATACATCCAGGACCTGCTGGGCTGGGTGGAGGAGAACCAGAGGCGTGTGGACCAGGGCGAATGGGGGTCTGACCTGCCCGAGGTGGAGTCCCAGCTGGGCAGTCACCGCGGCCTGCACCAGTCCATCGAAGAGTTCAGGGCCAAAGTCGAGAGAGCCAAAGCAGACGAGGTAAAGACGGAGCAAAGCCAAATGTAACACGTGTTAGGGCTAGGGCGGATCGACTGCAAGGTAGGTACTAGAAGAACCATACAAGAACCATAGAAGTACCATAGAAGAACCATAGAAGTACCATAGAAGAACCATAGAAGTACCATAGAAGAACCATAGAAGTACCATAGAAGAACCATAGAAGTACCATAGAAGAACCATAGAAGTACCATAGAAGAACCATAGAAGTACCGTAGAAGAACCATAGAAGTACCATAGAAGAACCATAGAAGTACCATAGAAGAACCATAGAAGTACCATAGAAGAACCATAGAAGTACCATAGAAGAACCATAGAAGTACCATAGAAGAACCATAGAAGTATCGTAGAAGAACCATAGAAGTACCGTAGAAGAACCATAGAAGTATCGTAGAAGTACCAGAAAAAGGGACGATGGGGAGCCCAGGAGTGGGAATGAAACACAGACAATCACGATTACGTTTCAAATATTGTATTGAGTTCAAATGTTATATATTAATGTAGATATGGAATAGTTCAGTAGTATGATGGTATTTATATAATAACAATGATACTTACAGTATATAGATATGATAAGCAGGTATATTTTATAAACAATAAACAACAAGAAGTGCCCTTTAAGTAGGAAAAATCAATTGCTTGGGGAAAAGTTCAAAAAGAGTTCACAATGAGGTAACGATAATAGTTCCAAGGGTATTGTAATTGTAATCCAAGTGCGTATTTGTAATCCAATGATCTGATATATTAATTCACAGAAAGACTTTTCCTACTGCGGCGATGCGGTGGGTGAGTTCAGTTCTGTTCGGGTAGCTCGCCATCCAGTGGAGGTCAAGGGTATTGCAGTTGTGTGTGTAAGAAAAAAAAAAAAAAACCTGAGCGTTGAGCGGGTTGTGAAAGGGAAAGATGCTGGGTGGATCTGGTGGGTCTGTGCTGGTGATGTTGGGCTGATCAGTGGTATCAGAGATCGCTAAATCACTCTTGACAGGCAGTGAAGCTAGCGCTAAGGTAGTGTTTTTAAAGGACGTTTGTCCAAAACAAAACTGGAAGTGGTTGTTTTGTGTTATGTGACACGGGTTACACAAAGACAAGGTAAAGATCGAGAGAGCCAAAGGAGACGAGGTCCCTGAGCACAGTCCTTGAGCACAGTCCCTGTGCTCCTCAGAATCCCAGCAGGAGGCCAGTCCCTGTGCTGAATAGAAGTCTTAACATTTGATTTGAGATATTTTGCAGAATTGTTGTTAAAAACGGTCTTAATGTGATTCCAGAGTCAGATTTCTGCAGTGAGTAAAGCTGCGTACCGTGAGTTTCTGAGTAAACTGGAGACGCAGTACGGAAAGCTGCAGGTGAGACTCCCACACACTCCTATACCTGTGATACATCGAGGCAAGCTCTGATGTGTTTGTTTGTGTAGAGCGCCTCCAAGTGGCGGCTGCGGTCCCTGACGGAACTCCACGCCTTCGTCACCGCGGCGACCAAAGAACTGATGTGGCTGAACGAGAAAGAGGAAGAGGAGGTGAACTACGACTGGAGCGACCGCAACAGCAACATGACGACGAAGAAGGACAACTACTCTGTAAGATTAAAGCTGCTCATTATTGCTTTCCCAACGAGTAATGGGCCCAGACACTGATAAATCCGTGCCGGACGCACTGAATAGCTTTGCTCCTGCTGTAGTACACAGTGAAATGAATGGGGTCCTATGGAGGGGGGGTGACCTCATGATGAGGAGCTCGTCAATCACTGAGAACCCAATAGTTGCGTTCGCCTTGTCGTTTGCTTTAAAACGCTGTATCATTTCAATTATAGGTTACTATGGAAACCTATATTGTTTTTGCTCAAAGATTTTTTTAAAAAAATCCTTGGTTTATTTATTAATTTTTTTTCTTTTTTCTTCTGCACTTTTTTTTCTTTTTTCTTCTGAGCCTTAATTTGACCCCTGAACATTGATGAAAAGTTGTGAAATTTCATCTCAACACATGGACCATCAACAGTTGAATATAGAATATGAATTAGTCAAACGGTCTGAGAGTGACAGACCCCCAAAGTGTGGTTATTTTCATAGAGAGGTGTGAAGTTCCCATGTTATCAAATGGAGACTGTATGGACACACTCACAGATTATATGTTCAAACAGGAGCACATTTACAAACTCTGATTTGCACTAAACTTGACTCGGTTGTTCAACTGCTGGGCCTAGGTCACATGACAGTGTGAACAATGACATTGGCCCATTAGCGCCCCCTACAGGCTGATTAAAGGTATAGATGGGGATAAAGGTACTTAGGTTTTCTGTTGTTTGATCTCATATTTGACCCACTGAACAAACACAAAAACTCACCAAACTTTGCCAGTTTTTTTCAGGCATAAAGTGTATTATTTTGGTGTTCTTTGGAATGACACAAAAAAATTAAATTGTAGGGGGCGCTGTTGTACAACATAAATGCCACCATTTGCACATACAAAGTCCGATTTGCACAAAATTTGATTTGATTGTTCAACTCTCGGGTTTGGGTAACCTGAAAGTGTAAAAGATGAAATTGCAGCAATAGCGCCCCCTACAGACTGAGTCAAGTGTTACATGGGGAGAATGAGGTTTATCTTTTCAATAGAGACACACGATCACTGATCATAGGACTTCTAAATGCACAGTGTAGCTCCCGTCAGGGCAGGGGGAAAGTGGCGCGTCAGCCATGTTAATTATTACTGCTACTCCACGTCGAGAGGAACCAGTTGAGGTGGCTCGGGCATCTGTTCCCGATGCCTCCTGGACGCCTCCCTGGGGAGGTGTTCCGGGCACGTCCCACCGGGAGGAGGCCCCGGGGAAGACCCAGGTCACGGGACTATGTCTCTCAGCTGGCCTGGGAACGCCTCGGGGTCGGACGAGCTGGAGGAGGTGTGTGTGGATAGGGAAGTCTGGGCGTCTCTGCTTAGACTGCTGCCCCCGCGACCCGGCAACGGATGGATGTTATTATTATTATTATTCTTATCATGAATGTTATTATTATTGTTATCATTATTATATTATTATCATTGCTCTGTCCCCAGGGGCTGATGAGAGACTTGGAGCTCAGGGAGAAGAAGGTGAACGGGGTCCAGGCCTCAGGAGACAAACTGCTGCGAGACGGACATCCAGCCAAAAGAACCATCGAGGTGACTCTTTAATGTGTTAAACACTGTTAATAAACTGTTAATAAACTGTTAATAAACTGTTAATAATAAAAAACTGTTAATAATAACAAATTGTGAATATTATCACTGAACGTTTCTCTGTTGTATTTCCTTTTTGTGGGAATGGACTAAATGTAGTTTAAAATGTTTCATGCTCCTGTCATGTGTAGCTCCTGTCATGTGTAGCTCCTGCCATATGTAGCTCCTGTCATGTGTAGCTCCTGTCATCAGTAGCTCCTGTCATCAGTAGCTCCTGTCATGTGTAGCTCCTGTCATCAGTAGCTCCTGTCATGTGTAGCTCCTGTCATCAGTAGCTCCTGTCATGTGTAGCTCCTGCCATGTGTAGCTCCTGTCATGTGTAGCTCCTGTCATCAGTAGCTCCTGTCATCAGTAGCTCCTGTCATCAGTAGCTCCTGTCATGTGTAGCTCCTGTCATCAGTAGCTCCTGTCATCAGTAGCTCCTGTCATCAGTAGCTCCTGTCATCAGTAGCTCCTGTCATGTGTAGCTCCTGCCATGTGTAGCTCCTGTCATGTGTAGCTCCTGTCATCAGTAGCTCCTGTCATCAGTAGCTCCTGTCATCAGTAGCTCCTGTCATGTGTAGCTCCTGTCATCAGTAGCTCCTGTCATGTGTAGCTCCTGTCATCAGTAGCTCCTGTCATGTATAGCTCCTGTCATGTGTAGCTCCTGTCATCAGTAGCTCCTGTCATGTGTAGCTCCTGTCATGTGTAGCTCCTGTCATCAGTAGCTCCTGTCATGTGTAGCTCCTGTCAACAATAGCTCCTGTCATGTGTAGCTCCTGTCATGTGTAGCTCCTGTCATCAGTAGCTCCTGTCATCAGTAGCTCCTGTCATCAGTAGCTCCTGTCATCAATAGCTCCTGTCATGTGTAGCTCCTGTCATCAGTAGCTCCTGTCATCAATAGCTCCTGTCATGTGTAGCTCCTGTCATCAATAGCTCCTGTCATGTGTAGCTCCTGTCATCAGTAGCTCCTGTCATCAATAGCTCCTGTCATGTGTAGCTCCTGTCATCAGTAGCTCCTGTCATGTGTAGCTCCTGTCATCAATAGCTCCTGTCATGTGTAGCTCCTGTCATCAGTAGCTCCTGTCATGTGTAGCTCCTGTCATCAATAGCTCCTGTCATCAATAGCTCCTGTCATGTGTAGCTCCTGTCATCAGTAGCTCCTGTCATGTGTAGCTCCTGTCATCAGTAGCTCCTGTCATGTGTAGCTCCTGTCATCAATAGCTCCTGTCATGTGTAGCTCCTGTCATCAGTAGCTCCTGTCATGTGTAGCTCCTGTCATCAATAGCTCCTGTCATCAATAGCTCCTGTCATGTGTAGCTCCTGTCATCAGTAGCTCCTGTCATGTGTAGCTCCTGTCATCAGTAGCTCCTGTCATGTGTAGCTCCTGTCATCAATAGCTCCTGTCATCAGTAGCTCCTGTCATCAGTAGCTCCTGTCATGTGTAGCTCCTGTCATCAATAGCTCCTGTCATGTGTAGCTCCTGTCATCAATAGCTCCTGTCATGTGTAGCTCCTGTCATCAATAGCTCCTGTCATCAGTAGCTCCTGTCATGTGTAGCTCCTGTCATCAATAGCTCCTGTCATGTGTAGCTCCTGTCATCAATAGCTCCTGTCATCAATAGCTCCTGTCATGTGTAGCTCCTGTCATCAGTAGCTCCTGTCATGTGTAGCTCCTGTCATCAGTAGCTCCTGTCATGTGTAGCTCCTGTCATCAATAGCTCCTGTCATCAGTAGCTCCTGTCATCAGTAGCTCCTGTCATGTGTAGCTCCTGTCATCAGTAGCTCCTGTCATGTGTAGCTCCTGTCATCAGTAGCTCCTGTCATCAGTAGCTCCTGTCATCAGTAGCTCCTGTCATCAGTAGCTCCTGTCATGTGTAGCTCCTGCCATGTGTAGCTCCTGTCATGTGTAGCTCCTGTCATCAGTAGCGCCTGTCATCAGTAGCTCCTGTCATCAGTAGCTCCTGTCATGTGTAGCTCCTGTCATCAGTAGCTCCTGTCATGTGTAGCTCCTGTCATCAGTAGCTCCTGTCATGTATAGCTCCTGTCATGTGTAGCTCCTGTCATGTGTAGCTCCTGTCATGTGTAGCTCCTGTCATCAGTAGCTCCTGTCATCAGTAGCTCCTGTCATCAGTAGCTCCTGTCATGTGTAGCTCCTGCCATGTGTAGCTCCTGTCATGTGTAGCTCCTGTCATCAGTAGCTCCTGTCATCAGTAGCTCCTGTCATCAGTAGCTCCTGTCATGTGTAGCTCCTGTCATCAGTAGCTCCTGTCATGTGTAGCTCCTGTCATCAGTAGCTCCTGTCATGTGTAGCTCCTGTCATGTGTAGCTCCTGTCATCAGTAGCTCCTGTCATGTGTAGCTCCTGTCAACAATAGCTCCTGTCATGTGTAGCTCCTGTCATGTGTAGCTCCTGTCATCAGTAGCTCCTGTCATCAGTAGCTCCTGTCATCAGTAGCTCCTGTCATCAATAGCTCCTGTCATGTGTAGCTCCTGTCATCAGTAGCTCCTGTCATCAATAGCTCCTGTCATGTGTAGCTCCTGTCATCAATAGCTCCTGTCATGTGTAGCTCCTGTCATCAGTAGCTCCTGTCATCAATAGCTCCTGTCATGTGTAGCTCCTGTCATCAGTAGCTCCTGTCATGTGTAGCTCCTGTCATCAATAGCTCCTGTCATGTGTAGCTCCTGTCATCAGTAGCTCCTGTCATGTGTAGCTCCTGTCATCAATAGCTCCTGTCATCAATAGCTCCTGTCATGTGTAGCTCCTGTCATCAGTAGCTCCTGTCATGTGTAGCTCCTGTCATCAGTAGCTCCTGTCATGTGTAGCTCCTGTCATCAATAGCTCCTGTCATGTGTAGCTCCTGTCATCAGTAGCTCCTGTCATGTGTAGCTCCTGTCATCAATAGCTCCTGTCATCAATAGCTCCTGTCATGTGTAGCTCCTGTCATCAGTAGCTCCTGTCATGTGTAGCTCCTGTCATCAGTAGCTCCTGTCATGTGTAGCTCCTGTCATCAATAGCTCCTGTCATCAGTAGCTCCTGTCATCAGTAGCTCCTGTCATGTGTAGCTCCTGTCATCAATAGCTCCTGTCATGTGTAGCTCCTGTCATCAATAGCTCCTGTCATGTGTAGCTCCTGTCATCAATAGCTCCTGTCATCAGTAGCTCCTGTCATGTGTAGCTCCTGTCATCAATAGCTCCTGTCATGTGTAGCTCCTGTCATCAATAGCTCCTGTCATCAATAGCTCCTGTCATGTGTAGCTCCTGTCATCAGTAGCTCCTGTCATGTGTAGCTCCTGTCATCAGTAGCTCCTGTCATGTGTAGCTCCTGTCATCAATAGCTCCTGTCATCAGTAGCTCCTGTCATCAGTAGCTCCTGTCATGTGTAGCTCCTGTCATCAATAGCTCCTGTCATGTGTAGCTCCTGTCATCAATAGCTCCTGTCATCAGTAGCTCCTGTCATGTGTAGCTCCTGTCATCAATAGCTCCTGTCATGTGTAGCTCCTGTCATCAGTAGCTCCTGTCATCATTAGCTCCTGTCATGTGTAGCTCCTGTCATCAGTAGCTCCTGTCATCAGTAGCTCCTGTCATCAGTAGCTCCTGTCATGTGTAGCTCCTGTCATCAGTAGCTCCTGTCATGTGTAGCTCCTGTCATCAGTAGCTCCTGTCATCAGTAGCTCCTGTCATGTGTAGCTCCTGTCATCAGTAGCTCCTGTCATCAGTAGCTCCTGTCATGTGTAGCTCCTGTCATCAATAGCTCCTGTCATGTGTAGCTCCTGTCATCAGTAGCTCCTGTCATGTGTAGCTCCTGTCATCAATAGCTCCTGTCATCAGTAGCTCCTGTCATCAGTAGCTCCTGTCATCAGTAGCTCCTGTCATCAGTAGCTCCTGTCATCAGTAGCTCCTGTCATCAGTAGCTCCTGTCATCAGTAGCTCCTGTCATGTGTAGCTCCTGTCATCAGTAGCTCCTGTCATGTGTAGCTCCTGTCATCAGTAGCTCCTGTCATGTGTAGCTCCTGTCATCAGTAGCTCCTGTCATCAGTAGCTCCTGTCATGTGTAGCTCCTGTCATCAATAGCTCCTGTCATCAGTAGCTCCTGTCATGTGTAGCTCCTGTCATCAGTAGCTCCTGTCATGTGTAGCTCCTGTCATCAGTAGCTCCTGTCATCAGTAGCTCCTGTCATCAATAGCTCCTGTCATGTGTAGCTCCTGTCATCAGTAGCTCCTGTCATCAGTAGCTCCTGTCATCAGTAGCTCCTGTCATCAATAGCTCCTGTCATGTGTAGCTCCTGTCATGTGTAGCTCCTGTCATCAGTAGCTCCTGTCATGTGTAGCTCCTGTCATCAGTAGCTCCTGTCATGTGTAGCTCCTGTCATCAGTAGCTCCTGTCATGTGTAGCTCCTGTCATCAGTAGCTCCTGTCATGTGTAGCTCCTGTCATCAGTAGCTCCTGTCATCAGTAGCTCCTGTCATCAATAGCTCCTGTCATGTGTAGCTCCTGTCATCAGTAGCTCCTGTCATCAGTAGCTCCTGTCATCAGTAGCTCCTGTCATCAATAGCTCCTGTCATGTGTAGCTCCTGTCATGTGTAGCTCCTGTCATCAGTAGCTCCTGTCATGTGTAGCTCCTGTCATCAGTAGCTCCTGTCATGTGTAGCTCCTGTCATCAGTAGCTCCTGTCATCAATAGCTCCTGTCATCAGTAGCTCCTGTCATCAGTAGCTCCTGTCATGTGTAGCTCCTGTCATCAGTAGCTCCTGTCATCAGTAGCTCCTGTCATGTGTAGCTCCTGTCATCAGTAGCTCCTGTCATCAGTAGCTCCTGTCATCAGTAGCTCCTGTCATCAGTAGCTCCTGTCATCAATAGCTCCTGTCATCAGTAGCTCCTGTCATCAGTAGCTCCTGTCATCAGTAGCTCCTGTCATCAGTAGCTCCTGTCATCAATAGCTCCTGTCATGTGTAGCTCCTGTCATCAGTAGCTCCTGTCATCAGTAGCTCCTGTCATGTGTAGATTGTTTTTATTCTTGTGAAAGAAGTATGAATGTCCCAATAATAATAATAATAATAATAATAATAATAATAATAATAATAATAATACTGTCCTCAGGCCTTCACTGCGGGTCTTCAGACTCAGTGGAGTTGGATTCTGCAGCTGTGCTGCTGCGTCGAGACTCACCTCAAAGAGAACACGGCTTATTTCCAGGTCGGCCATTTTATATACTACTAATACATACTATATTATATACTACTAATACATACTATATTATATACTACTAATATATACTATATTATATACTACTACATAATATATACTATATTAGTATATAGCCGTGGGCGGCACGGTGGCTGAGTGGATAGCACTCTCGACTCTCAGCAAGAAGGTCCTGGGTTCGAATCCCGGCCGGACCAGGGCCTTTCTGAGTGGAGTTTGCATGTTCTCCCCGTGTCTGCGTAGGTTTCCTCCGGGTACTCCGGTTTCCCCTACCACTAAAAATATGCACAATAGTTCTGGCATGTGCCTCCTGTTCGGCGACCCCGCTCCCATCTCTGTGTGGAGTGAGAGACAAGTGCCCAAAAAATAACAATTGTAAACCGCTTTGAGACTCAGATCTGCAGTGAAAAGGCGGTATATAAATAAAAACTTACTTACTTACTTACTATTATATACTACTACTACATACTATATTATATACTACTACTACATACTATATTATATACTACTACTACATACTATATTATATACTACTAATACGTACTATATTATATACTACTAATATATACTATATTATATACTACTAATACATACTATATTATATACTACTAATACATACTATATTATATACTACTACTATATACTATATTATATACTACTAATACATACTATTTTATATACTACTAATACATACTATATACTTTGTTCTTGTGGTCTCAGTTTTTCTCGGATGTGAAAGAGGCTGAGAACAGGTTGAAGAAGACGCAGGAGACGATGAAGAGGAAATACACGTGTGAACGATCTGTGACCGTGACGAGGCTCGAGGACCTGCTGCAGGACGCCGCCGTGAGCGCCACACTTTACCTTTAACCACCGCCGTTTAGTAGAATCTGCTACTTCTCTCCAGGCCTTCAAACCCTGCAGCTCATACAGCGATGCGGCTCATGCAGCGATGCGGCTCATGCAGCGATGCGACTGATGCGGCTTATGCAGCGATGCAGCTTATACAGCGATGCGGCTTATACAGCGATGCGGCTTATACAGCGATGCGGCTGATGCAGCGATGCGACTGATGCAGCGATGCGGCTTATACAGCGATGCGGCTTATACAGCGATGCGGCTGATGCAGCGATGCGACTGATGCAGCGATGCGGCTTATACAGCGATGCGGCTTATGCAGCGATGCGACTGATGCAGCGATGCGGCTTATGCAGCGATGCGGCTTATGCAGCGATGCGGCTTATGCAGCGATGCAGCTTATGCAGCGATGCAACTGATGCGGCGATGCGGCTCATGCAGCGATGCGGCTGATGCAGCGATGCGACTGATGCGGCTTATGCAGCAATGCGGCTGATGCAGCGATGCGACTGATGCGGCTTATGCAGCGATGCGGCTGATGCAGCGATGCGGCTGATGCAGCGATGCGGCTGATGCAGCGATGCGGCTGATGCAGCGATGCGGCTGATGCAGCGATGCGGCTTATGCAGCGATGCAACTGATGCGGCGATGCGGCTCATGCAGCGATGCGGCTTATGCAGCGATGCGGCTTATACAGCGATGCGGCTTATACAGCGATGCGGCTTATGCAGCGATGCGGCTTATGCAGCGATGCGGCTTATGCAGCGATGCGGCTTATGCAGCGATGCGGCTGATGCAGCGATGCGGCTGATGCAGCGATGCAACTGATGCAGCGATGCGGCTGATGCAGCGATGCGGCTGATGCAGCGATGCGACTGATGCAGCGATGCGGCTTATACAGCGATGCGGCTTATGCAGCGATGCGACTGATGCAGCGATGCGGCTGATACAGCGATGCGGCTTATACAGCGATGCGGCTTATGCAGCGATGCGGCTTATGCAGCGATGCAACTGATGCGGCGATGCGGCTGATGCAGCGATGCGGCTGATGCAGCGATGCGGCTGATGCAGCGATGCGACTGATGCAGCGATGCGGCTGATGCAGCGATGCGGCTTATGCAGCGATGCGGCTGATGCAGCGATGCGGCTTATGCAGCAATGCGGCTTATGCAGCGATGCGGCTGATGCAGCGATGCGACTGATGCGGCTTATGCAGCGATGCGGCTGATGCAGCGATGCGACTGATGCGGCTTATGCAGCGATGCGGCTGATGCAGCGATGCGGCTTATGCAGCGATGCGGCTCATGCAGCGATGCGGCTGATGCGGCTGATGCAGCGATGCGGCTGATGCAGCGATGCGGCTTATGCGGCGATGCAACTGATGCGGCGATGCGGCTCATGCAGCGATGCGGCTTATGCAGCGATGCGGCTTATGCAGCGATGCGGCTGATGCAGCGATGCAACTGATGCAGCGATGCGGCTGATGCAGCGATGCGGCTGATGCAGCGATGCGACTGATGCAGCGATGCGGCTTATACAGCGATGCGGCTTATGCAGCGATGCGACTGATGCAGCGATGCGGCTGATACAGCGATGCGGCTTATACAGCGATGCGGCTTATGCAGCGATGCAACTGATGCGGCTTATGCAGCGATGCGGCTGATGCAGCGATGCGGCTTATGCAGCGATGCGGCTCATGCAGCGATGCGGCTGATGCAGCGATGCGGCTGATGCAGCGATGCGGCTTATGCGGCGATGCAACTGATGCGGCGATGCGGCTCATGCAGCGATGCGGCTTATGCAGCGATGCGGCTTATGCAGCGATGCGGCTTATGCAGCGATGCGGCTGATGCAGCGATGCAACTGATGCAGCGATGCGGCTGATGCAGCGATGCGGCTGATGCAGCGATGCGACTGATGCAGCGATGCGGCTTATACAGCGATGCGGCTTATGCAGCGATGCGACTGATGCAGCGATGCGGCTGATACAGCGATGCGGCTTATACAGCGATGCGGCTTATGCAGCGATGCAACTGATGCGGCGATGCGGCTGATGCAGCGATGCGGCTGATGCAGCGATGCGGCTGATGCAGCGATGCGGCTGATGCAGCAATGCGGCTGATGCAGCGATGCGACTGATGCGGCTTATGCAGCGATGCGGCTGATGCAGCGATGCAACTGATGCGGCTTATGCAGCGATGCGGCTGGTGCAGCAATGCGGCTTATGCAGCGATGCGGCTCATGCAGCGATGCGGCTCATGCAGCGATGCGGCTCATGCAGCGATGCGGCTTATGCAGCGATGCGGCTTATGCAGCAATGCGGCTGATGCAGCGATGCGGCTGATGCAGCGATGCGGCTTTTATAGCAGTGCGGCTTATAGCGGTGCGGCTTGTACAGGGATGCGGCTTGTGCAGCGATGCGGCTTTTTTAGCGGTGCTGCTTATACAGGGATGCGGCTTATGCAGTGGTGCGGCTTATACAGCGATGCGGCTTATACAGGGATGCGGCTTATGCAGTGGTGCGGCTTATACAACGATGCAGCTTATATAGCGACGCAGCTAATGTGTGTGTTTTTATTATGGTAGAGTTGTCAGAGTTTATGAACCTTTAAACCAGGGGTGTCATTTATGCGGCCCGCCGCCAAGTGATTTGATACAGCCCGCGGCTCATTTATGTAAAATGATACAAATTTAAAAAATTCGCCTCGCATCGCGGAGCTTCGCGTCGCGGCGGTATGGTCGCGGCATACAGTCTATGGTCGCGGCACGAGGCTGCGCCGCGCACAGGAGTGAGTCCAGTGCGTTGTAGTGGTTCCACCAGAGCGGTGCTGAAGGAATAACATCTTAGACTACGAGACTCAGCGAAAAATACGGCACTTTGAGTGGAGAATTGAGAAGACAGAAGATAAACATGGCCCTGAAGACACAGCAGTCTGTTTGTGCCCAGAGCAAGAGGTTAGCGCTGCTGCTGTAAAGACAAGCTACCTGTGCTAACAGTGCTAACAACATAGCATTAGCCTCGCTGCCGCACAGTGAGAGAGTTGTTAAAACTCTCACAGGCTGCAGACATGGTCTGAGAAACCACTCGCTGTCACCAACATGTTGTCATCGATAAGAGACTGATGTTACTGATGTCACATATTCATTTGTGGTGTGACCATAGACTGTATATATTAACGGACAGAGTCACGCCTATCTCCGCCGTTCTAACTAATGGGCCAAAAAATGTGCTTTACTGGAGCTATCCAAAATGGCCGCGAGTGTTATGTGATAATAACATAACCATGGACCTTACCACACTGAAGATGGTTAATGTGATAATAACATAACCATGGACCTTACCACACTGAAGATGGTTAATGTGATAATAACATAACCATGGACCTTACCACACTGAAGATGGTTAATGTGATAATAACATAACCATGGACCTTACCACACTGAAGATGGTTAATGTGATAATAACATAACCATGGACCTTACCACACTGAAGATGGTTAATGTGATAATAACATAACCATGGACCTTACCACACTGAAGATGGTTAATGTGATAATAACATAACCATGGACCTTACCACACTGAAGATGGTTAATGTGATAATAACATAACCATGGACCTTACTGAAGATGGTTAATGTGATAATAACATAACCATGGACCTTACCACACTGAAGATGGTTAATGTGATAATAACATAACCATGGACCTTACCACACTGAAGATGGTTAATGTGATAATAACATAACCATGGACCTTACCACACTGAAGATGGTTAATGTGATAATAACATAACCATGGACCTTACCACACTGAAGATGGTTAATGTGATAATAACATAACCATGGACTGTACCACACTGAAGATGGTTAATGTGATAATAACATAACCATGGACCTTACTGAAGATGGTTAATGTGATAATAACATAACCATGGACCTTACCACACTGAAGATGGTTAATGTGATAATAACATAACCATGGACCTTACCACACTGAAGAAGGTTAATGTGATAATAACATAACCATGGACCTTACACACTGAAGAAGGTTAATGTGATAATAACATAACCAATGGACCTTACTGAAGATGGTTAATGTGATAATAACATAACCATGGACCTTACCACACTGAAGATGGTTAATGTGATAATAACATAACCATGGACCTTACCACACTGAAGAAGGTTAATGTGATAATAACATAACCATGGACCTTACACACTGAAGAAGGTTAATGTGATAATAACATAACCATGGACCTTACTGAAGATGGTTAATGTGATAATAACATAACCATGGACCTTACTGAAGATGGTTAATGTGATAATAACATGACCATGGACCTTACACACTGAAGAAGGTTAATGTGATAATAACATAACCATGGACCTTACTGAAGATGGTTAATGTGATAATAACATAACCATGGACCTTACCACACTGAAGATGGTTAATGTGATAATAACATAACCATGGACCTTACCACACTGAAGATGGTTAATGTGATAATAACATAACCATGGACCTTACCACACTGAAGATGGTTAATGTGATAATAACATAACCATGGACCTTACCACACTGAAGATGGTTAATGTGATAATAACATAACCATGGACCTTACCACACTGAAGATGGTTAATGTGATAATAACATAACCATGGACCTTACCACACTGAAGATGGTTAATGTGATAATAACATAACCATGGACCTTACCACACTGAAGATGGTTAATGTGATAATAACATAACCATGGACCTTACACACTGAAGATGGTTAATGTGATAATAACATAACCATGGACCTTACCACACTGAAGATGGTTAATGTGATAATAACATAACCATGGACCTTACCACACTGAAGATGGTTAATGTGATAATAACATAACCATGGACCTTACCACACTGAAGATGGTTAATGTGATAATAACATAACCCTGGACCTTACCACACTGAAGATGGTTAAGCTGAGGTGCTGTGTTTTAGTGCTTTTTTCTATCTACCTACTTTACCTTTGTGAGCAAGTTTTCTCTGTAATGAGCCTTAAAACTAAGCTAACAAACACATATTAATATAAATATTGTGAAATGCCATTTTCAATGTAATATTGTAAATACTTACATTATTTTCACTGTGAAAAACTCACTGTTACATTTAAGTTTGTAACAGATTTACAGTTAAAACTGAGTATTAAAGGACATTGTTTTAAATAAATGTGTTTATGTGCACAAAAAGTTGGACTTTGTACCATTTTTGGGTATTTTTGTAGAGCATCTTCTTGTCCGACCCACTTGAGATCCAATTAGGTTATATGTGGCCCCCGGACCAAAATGAGTTTGACACCCCTGTTTTAAACTCTCTTCTTCTGACATAACTACCTCAAGGATTTGAATTAATTTCGACCAATCAGGGAGCTGCAAGGCCGAGCAGGGGCGGGTCTTTAAAAAGTTTCACTCTTGCTTCACACTTTTAAAAGTAACTGAGATTCGGTTTACGTTCCTGAATCCTGAAGTCCATGCATCCATTTTCTTTCCCTTAATCCGTTGCCGGGTTCTTTGTGCATGACATTACCCTCTGTATGTTAGCATTAGGCTAACGCTAACGCTAACATGAAGGTGTTTCTCAGGATGAGAAGGAGCAGATGGCAGAGTTCCAGACCCACATCGAGGGACTGAAGCGCAGAGCCAAGACTGTGGTGCAGCTCAAACCCCGGAACCCTGCAGCGGCCCCTAGGGGCCAGCAGCCGGTACAGGCCGTGTGCGACTTCAAACAGATGGAGGTGGGTTTCTCTGTTTCTGTCAGTTCAAAACGTGTTTGAACTGTGTGATTCTCTGATCTGTGTTGGTGAATCGACAACTTTTTAAAGTCCCCTGTGAAACTACTGTTGTGACTTAGGGCGATACACAGATAAATGTAATTGAATTGAATGTGAATAAATGTGTTTTTTATAATGACATTACAAAAAAGAAACAACAGGCGATAACTGGAGCTGGATGTGTTTCCTCAGATCACGGTGCACCGAGGAGACGAGCTCGCTCTGGTCAATAACTCGCAGCCGTTTCAGTGGAAAGTCCTGAACGATAAAGGCAGCGAGGCCCTGGTCCCATCCATCTGCTTCCTGGTTCCACCGACCAATAAGGACGCAGTGAACTCTGTCGCCGGGTAAGTCCACGGAGGCCGGTCCGTGTTGAGATAGTTCACATTAGTTTGGATCATTATTGGACACAAGGAAAAAACACTTTCTACCTTTTCTACTGAACTCTTGAATCCAGGATAGTTTTCTGTCAGTGTCAGCTTTATTTGTATAGTACACTGTTGAGAAGTTTGGGGCGCTCATTTAAATTACAAACACAGTTCGTTACAAAAGCTACAGATAAAGGCGCTGGGCTTTATAAACAGTGACAGTACAGAGACAGTACAACACATGTGAATCTCAAGGTTTTGTACTTTTGTGTTATATTACTAACTACCCCCAACCTCTAATGTTTGGGTTTCAAAAGTTGCAAAAATTAAAAAAGTTAAAATAAAAAAGCTATAGATGCACGGTGCTCTCAGGAACCATTCAGAATAACTTTTCTTCTTCTTCCCCAGTTTG